CGCCTTAGTCGCCCCTGGCGGTGCTTGGAGGCGCTAGGAGGCGGCCAAAAGGTGCAGAAAGTCACTGAGGGACCCCCTGAGCTCGGGGAACGAGGAGGCGGGGAGCAAGAACTCTCTGGGCAGCTGGGGCCGTGCCCAGGGCTTGGGGCGGCAGCAGGAGCTCAGGGCACCCTTGCTCAAACTGCCTTGGCTGTGCAAGAGACCTGTCTGCACTGAGTCGTTGGATGGGCTGAGCGCTCTACTACAGCCCGTGCAGGCAGGTCCAAGAGGATGTGTTCAGGCTTGGCAGGGCCATGACCTGGTTTCACAAGCTGTGCTGGACCCAGCTTGGCTCTGCTGGACATTCCTGGTTCCGGGAATGCTGCACAGGGCTGCTGAAGCTTTATGCAGAGCCAGCTCAAGTACAGCATGCCTTACTAGTTTGGTTTCTGCGCTGCATGGTGCAACTAAATTGTTTCCAGACTAGAGCTAGTCCTCAGCGCAACATAGCTGTAGTAATTCAGATGGAGAATTATACAAAAAAGTCTTGGTGGACTTTGCTTTCAGTATGGAGCTACTTCTGCTTCTGTTTCTGTGATTCACTTAATCTGTAGCGTAGTAACTTCCAACTGGTAATTAAAAGACAACTGTACCGATTAAGATAAGATTTTTATGATTATCGTTATCTGCCTCTGTTGTTTGGTTTTCTTCAGTTTTGTCTGTTGCGGATTATCTTAAATTCATGATACTGAATAAGATAGGTTTTGGTGAGAATCATGGCAATTCACGTGTCTCAAGTCAGTGTTTTCATAATAAGCTGCTTTTAAAAACGCCTGAAGATAGTGGCTTCCTCAGCATGCAGAACTACTGACCTATCAGACTGTACCTGTCACGTTTGGGTTTTTTTCTTGTCACCTCATGGTGTGATACTTCTTTCTTGTGCAGTTCTGCAATCCAGTTTTTGCCATGCAGACAGTGATACATGGGTGCATTCTCACTGCTCCATGTCTACAAGGTAGCTGAGGTTAAGGTCTGGCAGTTTACAAGCCACCAGAACTACTGCACAGTGTCTTTCTGCAGCTTTTGCCTCCCTCTCAGCTCTTCCATGCAACCTCAGCAGCAGCTCTGGCACCTTGGTGGGTTGTTTGACAAATTTGATTGAAATGCTGTCACTCCCCTGTCACAAGATGCATGTAATAGCTGTGATAACTCATGAATAATTGGTGACTTTGGGATGATTTATAGCTTCTCAAAGCGTTGCTCTGTAAATGTCCAGATGTTGAATGAGTTTTGAATTGAATATGTCAGAGTACGTTTTATTAAACAGGTTTCCATGCTTTCTTAATGGGTTGGAATACCTGTACAGCAGGTTAATCTACCATTTCCTAGCTTTCGTGTACCAAAGGATAGTTATATATGATCAGTCGCAAAACTGGATAAAATACACTGGAATGTTTTAATTGAACAGAAAGCCTAGGAAGTGGGGTGTTCCTGTGTGCAAGTCATATTATGCGTAAAGATTCAGGGCTTAAAGCAGATAAAGTCATTGTGGACGTGCGTGACTCAGTACTGCAAGTCTGTGCTCTTCTTTTGCTGCAAGGTGCTCCTGGAAAATGGGTGTTAAAACTTGTACTGGGCCTGCAAAAGCCTGTGATCGAAAAAGGATCTGTCAGGATGGAGATGTACAGGAAACTTTTCAGGCCTTAAATGGAATTGTGTCAGGATTTGACAACTGGTATTTTCTGTCTGATCTCACACCCAGCAGCGTCTACAGACCACCCACCTGCAGAGAGCATTGTCTCTTGCAGTGGCTCCTGAGTGGTTTTGTCACCTAAACTATGACCGGTATCGCACACTGGTTAGTGGTAAGTTGAGGAAGGTCTTTTTCAGCTTATTCTTGCTTTGTATTATCCTTAATTTATTTTCTTTCATCCTAATTAGTCTGGAAGTTTTTCCTTTAATTGGTTAAAGGGCAGCAAAACAAACATCTTTCCAGCAGTGGCCCCTCTCTAGAAGTGATTCAAGGATAGCTCATTCGGATGCTGTGATCGCACACTGGTTAGTGGTAAGTTGAGGAAGGTCTTTTTCAGCTTATTCTTGCTTTGTATTATCCTTAATTTATTTTCTTTCATCCTAATTAGTCTGGAAGTTTTTCCTTTAATTGGTTAAAGGGCAGCAAAACAAACATCTTTCCAGCAGTGGCCCCTCTCTAGAAGTGATTCAAGGATAGCTCATTCGGATGCTGTGACTGGAGGCACTCCAGTACCTGAGGGTATGGCTTCAAATCGTTTCTTCAGCCGCCTCTAGAGCTTCAGTGAAGGCCATGCTGCAAGGGGTCAGATGTCCTCCTAACACATTACCCAAACCTGTGGGCAGGTGCTGTGGGCAGAAGACGCAGCATGTCATCACAGGCTCTTCAGTGTATGGTGTCATTTTGATCCGCACCAGTCACTGCAGTCTTGTCTTTTCCAGGTTGTCCCCAATCAGTCTCACAACTGGGCAACATAACTAGAAAACAAGCTTTGTACTTGGAAAAATAATTGTGATGATGCTGATTGGGAACTTTTTCCATCTGTTAGTTAACCTCTTGGAGTTAAAGGTATGGCTGGCCTAACTTCAGAGGTGATTGAACCGTTCTTCAGTTCTGCAGAAGAGGAAGAGGAGTCTTGAAGTTTGCGTTGTTTGTGTCTGAATCCTGACAGTCCTGTTTCTCTGAGAGTCACCAGCTGGAACACAACATAGAGTGTATGGCAGCTTTGAACCTTGGGTGATGGTTCATACTTCTGTAAATATCATGCTATCATATGTAATTCCCTTTTGAAGATTTTACAAATCAGTCTCATATTAATGTCTTTTCTGTGACAATTATTTTGCTCTGTTCTGTTTGAGAAAGCTTAAGAAAGTCCTCCTTAAATATGATTAATTTAAGATGATCAGGGTAGAAAAATGCATATTCAGGACCAGGATCATTTGAAAAAGCAGGCGATTAATTATTATTCAGAGCAGAAAAATAAGGGGCAGCCGTTTTCAAAACCACATGGAAGTATTCCAAAGTAGGCTTGATCACTGGGTGCCTGTCAGGATTTCCCCACGCTGCTGTTTTGGTGAAGACATACTTGTTCCCATGTACCCATTGGGGAAAACACTGTCACAAAACCCAGCCCCCTTGGTTCAAGGCTTTGAAGTTTAACATAGAAGCCTGGTCCCATTCACAATATGTCTGATATTTTGTTCCAATACCTTTATAAGAGCTTTTGACATTTCAGAAGCCATTGCCTTGATTAATCTGTGTACTTTAAATCCCCATATCCTGTCCATCCAGAACTTTTGGGGTATAGGGAGGGGAACTGCCCTTTTTAGAAGATAAAGGGACTCAAAAGATAATAGGGACTACTTTTTTTTCTTCATCAGCTTGGCTGGTATTCTGGAGAACTATGAAGACCCATGATTATTCTTCTTCTACTGTATCAATTTTTTTTTTTTTTCTATCCAGTAGTTAGCTCTCATGCCAAGCCTGCTGCTACGTTGACCTTTCTGGATATGAGGAAAAACTAATTCTTCTGGCTTTAAAAAAAAAAAAATAGTAGCTACAAAATACTCTTGCCTGACCTCAAGAAAGCCAAGAACTCCCCATGAGTGAATAATACCACTGCTCTCAGCATTTTAAAAAAAGATAGTAACGTAGTTTGACAATTCTCTGAATTATTAATCTGTGTAGTAGGTTTCCAGGACCTAAAGAGTTTAACTTTATGCTGAAGAAAAAACAGCACCAAGTTGTTGAGTAAGTTTCTCTAATCTCTGAATGAAATGACCGTTTCTGTGGATCCTGTTATAGCTGCTACCAGAATCCAGTGTACGTCCTGCAGCTTCTTTTTCCAATGAGGGAAGTAAAAAGGGGACTACTTCAAGAGCGTGTTTGGCTCCATTAGTCAAAGATGACAGCCCTTTTGGAATTTCTTGATGTTGACAGATTTTGGAGCTAAAAGGCAGCAGAAAATACTGTGGACTGTTCTTTCTCAAAGGTTACCTTATATATGGTAGGCAAGAAGATACTGATTCCTTGGACTCTGGTTTAGCCTGAAGTCATGTGTCATCCTGCTGGTTCTGCTGAAACTTTGGTGGTGTTAGTCACTCGCCTGGGCCCCTGGCTTGCCTGGGGATGGGCACACGGTCACAAGTGGCAGAGCTACCAGGGCTCCAAGAGCTGTGAAAATGAGTTGTGTATTCCTTGCCCATCCCAGTTGTCAAAACTGATTGTCACTTAATGGAGTGTAGGGTTAAACAGTCTTTGATTACTACTGCAATAGTTTGCATAATGTGATTCACTTTGCAGCTGGCATCAGCTAAAGTTAAAATACAACTCGACTAATTACAAATACCTTGGTAAAG